CGTTTGTTTTTACTTGGAAAAGCAGCTGTTTTCTAGCATTCGAATAACTACCAGAAACTAGGCTATAGAAGGAGGATTGGAGATGAATTTCCTTTGCAAATAAAGTGGGAATGTGCATACTTTTAAATCGACACCTGCCACGGTGTTTTCCTCTTTGAGCGTGTCTTAAAAGCAATGAGGAGGGGGGAGGGGGGCTTAATCTTATCACTCAGCATACCCGTATTTGCTATCATCTACCACATACTTAAACTTTACAAACACTAATAATTTAATAACCCTGCTAAATGTAATGTAAATGTAAATGTTAGCAAAGCTCAACCATTTTAATACTGTACACTATAGTGTTGTGAAGCTTAGATTCATTGTAAGCTTTAAAAACATTATTTTCAAGGCTTTAATATCGGCAACAGTGCCAGCCAGACTTTTAAAATGGGTGCATCCCTAAAATAAATTTGCCAATTTGATTTCAGAAACAATAAAAAAGTTAGTACCCTAAAATATTAATATGAAGGAAACTGATCTAAGGGCAGCTTATTTACATTTCATGAAGTCTGTCTGCTCATAAGCAAGGTTTATTAAATGCAAAAGATTCTCCACCCATAATTAATCTTCTCAGTAACACATCTTCAAATTAATTATAAGTGCAATTTTCTTTCACTTTAAGTTATCAGACATTCTCATGTAGCACTTACAGAAAAATGAATATATACAGCATCATTCAATGAGCACTTTAACCTTATTACATAATTAAATTCAGCATCCAAACATAATAAGGCTGATTCATGAATAACGGATTTAAAGAAAAACACTCCATCACATGTGACAAATGGCCACTTCATATGCTGTGCCACACTCAAGAGATCCTGTTAGGCACAAAAATTGCGTCAACTTATTTTGCAGGTATGGAGAACAGCGATAGATGGACGGACGCTGAAGTGCAGGCACTCGTAGTGCCAGCTGTCATTGGAGATTCTAAGTCCTCCTTTCTGTTCTTTTAATCGCTTTACGTATACGTCGACTTTCCATGTCCATTATTGTGAAACCCGCGAGACACAACAAAAACACAGCTCCGATCACAGCGTCCTCCATCCTCCTGTTGTTAATGTTGTTTTTCTTTGTTTCCGTTGTTGAACGCCACGCACAAATGATGTCGCTGTCGACTGGTTCCTGTCGGTGCGAATGCAACCCTTTAAATGGTACTGGGAAATAGTTTGCGCAAAATCGTCCCAGTACTTCAAGTACTGTACATTTAGTGCTGGAACTAAAGCGGTGCGAAAGGCCCTTAAACATCAACTTGACTCACACTTTGGCCTCCCAGAACCCCTTTCACAATAGATGACCTTCATCATGTTTGAGTACAATGGCTTCAAAAGGGACCTTTGAAGTCCAAAGAGAGAAAGAGCCCTGTGAGCTCCTGCAAACAAGGACCCTTGTTTACACCTGATATAAATGTCCATCTATGATGATCCATATGAGATGGATTGCTATTTACACGTTTAAGAAGAGTCTTTGCACTACATATATGATGTAGTCACATGGATTTCTGACTAGATCCGAATATGGTTTAAGTAATCGGATCGCACAACATTTGGACAATTTTCTCTTAGTGTCATCCACTTTTTCTAATGTCCACAATGACTATTTAATGTAGAATCCATTGTGGCATACTCACTCACTGATAGCAGCACTTCCTTTGTAAGCTGCTGTCTTCCTTTAGTCTCACTTCATGTGAAGACAGAGAGAGAGAGAGAGAGAGAGAGAGAGAGAGTGTAAATAAAAGAACACTTGGGATGCTATTTTTAGGCTGCTGCTAAACACTTTCACACACATGCAGGCAGGAGAAAGCAGATGGTTATGTGGTCTTGTGTGTGTGTTTTGGTGCGGCCCTTTGTCACAACACAAATGAATACACTAGTGCTTATGCACATGTGTGTTTGTACAGTACTCTTTTCTTGACACACATGCATTCTTGAAAACAGATTTACAATATCATCCAAACAAATGTTGCCTAAGATGTCTACTAACTCAAAGAACAAGTCAAAACCAAACGCTCAATGTGAGGGAGCTGTCAACTAGCTTTCAACATTCAATCACAGGAACACACAGACAGATCCGTCTCATCGTAAGAAAGATTATGTCATTGGGCTTAGCAGGCTCAGGTCTTCCTGTCCTTTGGTCCTTGTTTTCATATAGCAGGGTCAGAAGGGAACACTACTGCCGACAAAAGGGAGGTTGAGATAAACTAATGCAAAATGGATTTGCGCAGTATATCATCACAGTCTCTTGCATGGCCTAATAAAACAAGACTATTCGTTTGTATGTTTGTTATTTAATTCAGTTGTATGTTAATTCTTTCACAAAATACTGAGACAGGCTTAAATGTGATTAATGGTCCTTAAAAGAAAGTCAGAAGGCTTGATGAATGAATACTGGTTAAATTAATATAGTTAAAGCTTTGTTGAAAGGCATCTGTAAAAAGTTGCTAAAAAAAAGACACATGCCTTGGTTTCTAAAAACAAAGGAAAAATGTTTTCACAGAAATGCAATTACAATGGAAGGCCATTGGGGCATGTTTAAAATGCAGCAAATAAATGTTAAAATTAATGTGTCGCTGGTCATTTGCATAAAGTTAAGCTCTGCTCAACTTTGTTTCTTTGCCACGGGTATCTTTTGCTTGCGTCAACGAAAAGCGCCAACTCTTGTTAAAAATGAATAATATCCCTTTGGACTGTAAAAAACTGTACAGATCAAGTTATTTTTCAAATTAATAATTCATGTAAGAATGTTAACAAAAATACAAGCTTTCCATTTCTGCTTTTAAACCTTATGATAAATATGCACAAAAGGCTTTCATGGGGAGAGGCTGTACATGTTAATAATTTTTATTTAAACTGAGGTACGAGTTGAAAGTATTTTCTGTGGTAATCGACATCATGCTACAGATGCTGCAGAGGTGAACTTGTATCAAACCTGCAATAATTCTTTCATGAAGACCCAGTGCAATTTCATCAGTTTCTCTCCATCAGAGACTAAAAAAAATACAAATTAATATATGAATGAATTAATTATATGAATGTACCTCTGAAGGTTCTGACTGTCTTCAGAAACGATTCGATGGCATTTTGTTTTCATCTTCGCTCCATGTAATACCTAAAGGAAGTGTTCTTAATCGCAATACTGCTCTGTCCACGGAGGTTACGGGAAACAGCTGTAATTCAGCTTTTCCATAAGCGCCACCTGCTGTCAGAGAGTGGATTTACAGAGACTTATAGTTACATTCAGCCTGTGTGCAGTTTCTGTCTGGCCAAAAACGGACCGAATTTGCATACCCTGTTGCATTTTATTTGTTGTTTGTGGATTTTTAAATATAAAACGAAGTGATTTATGTGTCGGTACTTTTTTAACATCTCCAGCACATTTTAACAATACCATGATAATACTGATAACCGTGATCATTTTGGTCACTATAATCGTGATAAGACATTTTCATACCATTACATCCCTACGTCCTTGTGGAGATTGAAAGTATGCCATCTTCTCCTGTTCCGTTGTTGTCTCCTTTTTGTAGTTTTAAATAATGATTTAATGATTTGATATTTATTTGCCCCCATCACGGCTATAATGCTTCTCCGACGAGCCGCTTCTTCTTCGGCTTTTACCGTGGTACTCCGGGTTACACCAGCAACATGCCCGTGGACACTGCAGACTAGCGGTTTGCATGCGTACTGCACGTCGACGCAGACAACAATGCAGAATTATAAATGAAAACTGATGCATAGCCTATGGTGTAAAGGCTACTGCGTATGTCCGACGCAGAAGTATAAATCAGCCTTAACTCTACCTCCCCTGGGATTCAACCATGTCTGATATAACAATAAGCCTCAAGCACCAAAATGGCTTGAATAAAGCGGTTCCTTTTACTCTGAGAACAGAATAACAGCTGTGCAAGAGGGCCATCAGCACTGACGGGTCACGCCTGGAGACGGTCTGAACCGATTTATGCCTCTGTACAACAAAAATTGAATGTCACAGGTAGTGGTCGACTGATATTGGTTTTTTGACAGCCGATACCGATATCTTGGAAAGCAGGGTGGCCGATGGCCGATATAATTTTATTTATTTTAATTAATGTTTAAGAAATTTGAAATCATTTGAAAATGGATTAAAAAGTAAATGTTTTAAATAAACATACTTATACTTTAGATTAGGGCTGGGCAAAAAAAAATGTCTTACATTTTTTTTTTTTAATTTTGACAAAAAATCGATTTTTTGATATATCGTTTTTTTAAATGTGGTCGATTCAATATCGATTCTCAAAGCCCACGAATCGATTTTTTTTTCAATATTTATTTCCGCAAACATTGAACATAAGATTTACGTTAATCTTATTACTAGTCTAATCCACTAGATGTCACCCCCTTATTTGCCTTGCGCGATGTTACAACGGAGAGTCCGTCATTCATTCATTGCTTAAAATGGCGGAGTGCGTTCAGGTGCGTTCCCGACGTCAACACCACCTTCACATAAAAAGTCAGAGGTATGGAAGCATTTTAGATTTCGCAAGCATGAGGACAAAGATACGGTGGACAAGAACAAAGCTATATGCCTGATTTGTAATTCTGAGGTGAAATGCTGTAGTAATACTACAAATCTGCGGAGCCATTTGACAAGACATCACCCAGACGTGCAGGTTCTAACACCCCCACAGCCGAACAGACAACTGAAGATTTCAAACGCATTCACAAGCAAAATTCCTCACAATTCACCACGTGCACAAAAGGTCACGGAATCAATTGCATTTCATATTTGCAAAGATCTAAGGCCATACAGCGTTGTCGAAAACGACGGATTCCGTTACATGTTGAATGTGCTGGAGCCTTGTTATTCTACTCCTAGTCGTAAACAGATAAGCGAAGAGATTATCCCAAGACTGTACCATGAAGTGAAGGGAAACATTTCTCTGTCCCTTCAGTCAGTGGACAGAGTGGCCCTCACGTGCGATGGCTGGATGTCAAGGAGTCAAGACATCTATGTCACAATCACCTGCCACTATTGAAGAGTGGCAGGTGAGTGGGGGCTCACTAAGAAAGACCCGGTCATTGTGACCGACAACGCTACTAACATGATCCGTGCCGTGATACATTGACGATACTAACATGATACATTAGCTGCTTTGCTCACACAAAAAAATCTGGCATCGCAAGCTGCGCTGAAACTTCCGGCCATCTCTCGGTTGCTAGGTCGAGTTAGGCGCATAGTGACATTCTTTTACAGGAGCGCTAACGCTAACAAAGTTTTCAAAGAAAAAAAAATGCTACTGAACTTGCCCTGTCGCAAACTTAAAATTGACGTGTTGACCAGGTGGAACAGCACGCTGGACATACTCGACAGATTTTTGGAGCAGCAACCGGCAATCTCAGCTGCACTTCTTACTCCTGAAGTCCGTCGGAGCGAAAAGGATCTTTGCACTTTGACAGAGGCAGATATAACTGTGGCAGAGGACATCGTGAAAGCTCTTCAGCCGATGAAAAGTGCAACTCTGGTGATGTCTGGAGAGAACACCGCTACTCTCTCTATCATTGCACCATTGCACGCACAGCTCCTTGATGAGATGCGCTCGACTGCCAGTGATTCGACTGTCATTAAGGAACTCAAATCTGCCATGCATGACAACTTGAAGTTTAGGTATGTTTACAAAAACAGGTAGTACTATCTATAAAATTAAAAATTTGTGTGAATGTTAGAACAGATTACATTCTTGTTAATTGTAAGTTTGTGTATGTTGATGCCATAATGTAATTTAAATGTGATTGTCTAATCTTTAAAGATATGCAAATCTAAAAGATAAGCTGTATGTGGTGTCTGCCCTGGACCCTCGTTTCAAGACTCTTCCTTTCATCTCTGAAGAGGAACGCGAGGACACATTCACAACATTGATCAGTGAGATGGTCACTCTGGAGCAAGTTAAGGCACATGATGTATGTTGTATAAAGTTTTTAAACTGAAAATGTAAACAAACCAATATTTATTAACTGCATATAAATATAATAAATTAAAGTAAAATAATAAAAATTCTGTATGGTGGAGATGGGCAACATTAAATTCAAATACAATTTTAATTGATATTTTCCTTGTTTTTAACTATCAGCAGCAAGGATCTGATAGTGCTGGTAATGGAGGCAGTGCACCTGTACAGGAGCAAAAATCCCTTGGTGAAGGTGACCCCTCCCCAGCCCCACCAAAGAGGTCAAAAGAATCCTGTGCACTGTTGGATCTGCTTGGGGCAGCCTATGCACCAGTGGCTAAAGTAGTCAGTGCTACTGCTGCAGACAGGGCACGGGAAGAAGTTGTCAAATACAGAGAAGTTATACCTATACCTCTCTCAGAAGAACCACTTAAGTGGTGGTGTAAGCATGAAGGAGTGTACCCACTTTTGTCCCTCCAGGCAAAACGCTATCTTTGTGTTCCAGGGACCAGTGTCCCAGCTGAAATAATTTTCTCCACAGCTGGAGACATTATTACAGCTCAAAGAAGTTGCCTTCTGCCAGAGCACGTTGACCAACTCCTTTTCTTGCAAAAAAATTACAGTTTCCAATGAGGCAGTAGTCTGTACTTTGAGCCTACTGTTAGTCCAGTGTTAAAGTGTTAGTTCACCCAAAAATGAAAATTCTGTCATTGTTTATGAATGTATTCATCATGTATGAATTTCTTTCTTCTGTTGAACACAAATGAAGATATTTTGAAGAATATGGGTAAACCAAACAGTTGATGGGCCCTATTGACTTGACTTCCATAGTATGGAGAAAAATATATGGAAATCAATGACGACCAAAACAGTGTTGGTTATCCATATTCTTCAAAATATCTTCTTTTGTGTTCAACAGAAGAAAAGAAATTCATACATGCATAAATGACAGAATGAACTATCACCCAAAAGCCAGTATTAGTTTTCCTACACCATTTATAGGCTTGCAGCCTCCATGTTACAGCTAATGCTGTGAGATTTTATGTTTGTTTCATCTTAGACATAAAATAACCTGATCCTGTTTGATCAAGGCATGTGACTGTTCTGACTTGTCCAATTTTCAACATCAGTTTGTCCATCTTGCATCAAAATTCTGTCTATTCATTGTATGCATTTGAAATATAGAGTTGGGTTTTGTTTTATTTCTTTTACAGGAGCGCTAACGCTAACAAAGTTTTCAAAGAAAAAAAAATGCTACTGAACTTGCCCTGTCGCAAACTTAAAATTGACGTGTTGACCAGGTGGAACAGCACGCTGGACATACTCGACAGATTTTTGGAGCAGCAACCGGCAATCTCAGCTGCACTTCTTACTCCTGAAGTCCGTCGGAGCGAAAAGGATCTTTGCACTTTGACAGAGGCAGATATAACTGTGGCAGAGGACATCGTGAAAGCTCTTCAGCCGATGAAAAGTGCAACTCTGGTGATGTCTGGAGAGAACACCGCTACTCTCTCTATCATTGCACCATTGCACGCACAGCTCCTTGATGAGATGCGCTCGACTGCCAGTGATTCGACTGTCATTAAGGAACTCAAATCTGCCATGCATGACAACTTGAAGTTTAGGTATGTTTACAAAAACAGGTAGTACTATCTATAAAATTAAAAATTTGTGTGAATGTTAGAACAGATTACATTCTTGTTAATTGTAAGTTTGTGTATGTTGATGCCATAATGTAATTTAAATGTGATTGTCTAATCTTTAAAGATATGCAAATCTAAAAGATAAGCTGTATGTGGTGTCTGCCCTGGACCCTCGTTTCAAGACTCTTCCTTTCATCTCTGAAGAGGAACGCGAGGACACATTCACAACATTGATCAGTGAGATGGTCACTCTGGAGCAAGTTAAGGCACATGATGTATGTTGTATAAAGTTTTTAAACTGAAAATGTAAACAAACCAATATTTATTAACTGCATATAAATATAATAAATTAAAGTAAAATAATAAAAATTCTGTATGGTGGAGATGGGCAACATTAAATTCAAATTAAATTTTTATTTATATTTTCCTTGTTTTTAACTATCAGCAGCAAGGATCTGATAGTGCTGGTAATGGAGGCAGTGCACCTGTACAGGAGCAAAAATCCCTTGGTGAAGGTGACCCCTCCCCAGCCCCACCAAAGAGGTCAAAAAAATCCTGTGCGCTGTTGGATCTGCTTGGGGCAGCCTATGCACCAGTGGCTAAAGTAGTCAGTGCTACTGCTGCAGACAGGGCACGGGAAGAAGTTGTCAAATACAGAGAAGTTATACCTATACCTCTCTCAGAAGAACCACTTAAGTGGTGGTGTAAGCATGAAGGAGTGTACCCACTTTTGTCCCTCCAGGCAAAACGCTATCTTTGTGTTCCAGGGACCAGTGTCCCAGCTGAAATAATTTTCTCCACAGCTGGAGACATTATTACAGCTCAAAGAAGTTGCCTTCTTCCAGAGCACGTTGACCAACTCCTTTTCTTGCAAAAAAATTACAGTTTCCAATGAGAAAGAGTTACTGTACTTTGAGCCTACTGTTAGTCCAGTGTTAAAGTGTTAGTTCACCCAAAAATGAAAATTCTGTCATTGTTTATGAATGTATTCATCATGTATGAATTTCTTTCTTCTGTTGAACACAAATGAAGATATTTTGAAGAATATGGGTAAACCAAACAGTTGATGGGCCCTATTGACTTGACTTCCATAGTATGGAGAAAAATATATGGAAGTCAATGGGGACCAAAACAGTTTGGTTATCCATATTCTTCAAAATATCTTCTTTTGTGTTCAACAGAAGAAAAGAAATTCATACATGCATAAATGACAGAATGAACTATCACCCAAAAGCCAGTATTAGTTTTCCTACACCATTTATAGGCTTGCAGCCTCCATGTTACAGCTAATGCTGTGAGATTTTATGTTTGTTTCATCTTAGACATAAAATAACCTGATCCTGTTTGATCAAGGCATGTGACTGTTCTGACTTGTCCAATTTTCAACATCAGTTTGTCCATCTTGCATCAAAATTCTGTCTATTCATTGTATGCATTTGAAATATAGAGTTGGGTTTTGTTTTATTGTACCTAGTGCTCTTAATTTCTTTTTATTAATTAACCATTTGTAATCTTATGTTCACTGTTAATTTTTTATAAATATAGGATTTGTATTAAATCTATATTCATTCATATAGTCAAATCGAATGGAGAATCGAAATCAAAAATCAAATCGAAATCGAATAGAAAATCGAAATCGAATCGAATTGAGAGCTTGAAAATCGAAATCGAATCGGAACATCTGAATCGATACCCAGCCCTACTTTAGATGACAAAGTATTTTTCATAAATAAATAAATATTTAATAAAAATAATTTTAAAAAAAAAGGAAGTAAACACGGTTCACGCCTCGAACGCATCGGCCAAACAGGAAAACTTATCGGCCGATGCCGATATTTAAAAAATGCCAAAGGGCAATTCTTCAAAAACTAGTTACAGGGCAATTATTCCTGCAATCAAGTGTTCAAGAGTTGGCTCAGAGCTCTGTAACGCTGCATGTTCTATCGAGAAGCATTTTATTTATTTTCTCCTCAAATGTTTCTCAACTGCTTTCAAAAGCTTACCAGAGCACACTGAGAATACATCAAGTTCAGAAAAATGCTTAAACGTTAATTATAATTCCATCGGCCAGAGGCTACTAGTTAAAAGGGTGCTGCAACCAAAAATGAAAATGCTGGTACCAAACCTCATTTGGTTCCAAACCCAGTCAAGACTTTCTCAGTTTTAAATGTGACCATGCTGCTGCAGAAAGAAAAAATAATAATTCAGTTTCAATCTGTTCCTACTGTACGGCTTCAGACACATTTATTGTTTGGTGAATTTTCATGGGTGAAAACCAGTCATTTCAACAGGAATCTACACAATCTGGAATTTTGTGTGTGAGTGAAAGATTTCACTGCATTGTACCGCATTGACAAACAGAAAGCTGCTTAGTTTGATGTGAAGCTGTACTTCATACATTGCTACACTACTGACAATAGACAATGTGGCTGCACCTTAAGAATAATACAGTGCATGAGTCTATGGAAAAAAAAGATTTTTGTCTGTTTTAGAGCTTGACAGCTCATGGCCACTATTGCTTTGATTGTACAGAAAAAGAGCACCTTTAACATCCTTCAGTGTTCTCCTTTTGTGTCCCACAAAAGGGCAAGTAAAAGAAGACTGAATTTTAATTTTATGGAGAACTATCCCTTTAACAAAAAAAATACTACAAAATATTTGACCATCACAGAAGAACAAAACACACACATTTGCAACACTATCAACACTTCACACTTCTCAATGCCTGAGACATTTTAGAAGCAGAAGAAATGAAATTTCCGCATGGCATTCTGCCATCCACCAAGTGTCATTTCAAGAGAAAAATCAGTCTTTCCTAAGAAACACAACAAATAAAAAGTAAACAGCAGGGCCGCTTTCTCAGCAAACAGGTTCTGTTCATCTTCTAATTAATGAATTTTGACAGATGGATGAATTTTGACAGATGCTGAGAAACACATGACCTGATGGTTTGCAGCTGTTGCACAGCTTAAATCATAAAACACTAATCGCAAGAAGGGCTGCACGATAAATCGAAATGGAATCGAGATCGTGATTCGACAGAAGCTGCGATTGTCATGCGTATCTTTCAGTGAAGCACGGTTCTGTGATCAGCAGTAAATCTCCATCCAAAGGCCAGAGGGCGCTTTCGCGCTGAAACTCCAAATACGCCTCGCAGAAGAAATCCAGGAAATCGCTGCAGCTGAATAAACAGAAGATTCAACTGCTTTCATTGATTCAACGTGACTAATAAACACACGACTACGGCAATATGCAGTTTAGCTGAGTTCTTATTATAAATGTTTATTAAAATAAAGTATATTTATAATGCAATGCCTTTATCACTGCTTAAATACTATGAAAGATGTTGCATGTTGCGTTCTGTGTAAGAAGCCACATCTCACAGAAGGATTTATTTCAAACACTCGACTGACGTTATGAAGTGAGTTTGGAGTAAAAATTTTATTAAATGTGGTATTTTCACATGCTTTCAGATGGAGCAGCATTTACTTCACAGAGCCGTAGTTCACTGAGAAGCTATGCAAACAGCTGTCATTATCGCAAACGATTTCAGAATCGCACAGTAAAATTGTCTGCGACTTTTTTGCGTAACTTGTCAGTGAACTACGGCTATGTGTAGTAAATTCTGCTCCATCTGAAAGCACGTGATGATGATTTCCTGCTGATTACAGAACCGGCTTTTTTAACAAAATGTGCATGACAATCGCATTCGATTAATCGTGCAGCCCTAATCGCTAGATGACACTTTTCTATTCTTAACAGATGCTCAGGTTGTGAGATAAAACGGTAATAAAAGAAATCAAAAACAAGGCCAGAAACAAACTGCACAATTGGCAGAGAGTGAATGGGAGGAAGGCTGAAAAAGAGTGTGTGTGTGTGTGTGCGCGCGCGTCTATTGGCTGGGAGTATCAGTGCAGACTGTTTGTCCAGCTAGATGACACTTTTCTATTCTTAACAGATGCTCAGGTTGTGAGATAAAACGGTAATAAA